GACCCTTATGGTACGTTGTGTGGATCATGACACGACCATCCTTGATGCCAATGTTGCGGTGGGCTTCTGTGTTGCGCCAGCGTACAGAGAAGAATTCTGGTTCTCGCAATGGCTGCCCAGATGACATTTGAACCAGCACAGCAAGCGCTCGGAGAAATTGGTATGCCTGCTCTTGGTAGAGCTTGCGTGACTTGCGGTTGAAGATGAAGGGCACTGCTGACTTGTCGAGGAACAATGCCTGCAGTGCTGGTGTGCGCTGGATACTCTGCACCAGAGCTAAGTCAGCGCTGCCTAGGAGGACCTTGTTTGCCTCATGCTTGGCAAAGAACCAGCCTGCATTCTGACGGTCAAGATCATCCTTCAGCATAGTTGCCTGCACTAGCAGAGGACCATGCAAGCCAAAGAGCAGCTCGACAGATAGAAGATGCTGTGCTCGAGCCATCTGGTGCTTGAAGAGTGCCGTTACCTGATCCAGCTTGAGGTGAATGCCCTTAAATGTGACGCCAAGCTTGTCTTCATCCCAATGAGCCTGCTGCGGGCCAACTTCCTGCTTGGATACCTCAAAGCAAAGTGAACGCCAGCGAAGCACCTCACCAAATGCAGTCTCCTTGTCCGGCTGCAGGAAGCAAGAAACAGTCCTGTTGATGGACTCAAGCACCTGCACGCTGTCTGGATCTCCTGAAACTGCATCTCGGAAGATTAGCAGCTGTGCAACCCAGATCATTCCTGAAAGTATGCTGCTGAAGGATCCTGCTGACTGCCAGGCACCGCTCTTGGCCTCCACAGCATGCATAGCTGCAAAACTGAGGACTGGTGAGGAAAAAGGCTCTGTGCCGGTGTTGTGCATGATGAGCGTTGCAGAAAAGACTGCAAGTGCATCTTTGAGAGCATTGTGAATGACGGTGCCAGTGCTTTCTTCCAAGACTTGCTCCCAGCTTGCTTTTTGATCCGACGTTGGAGTGACAACCGCCTCTGGAGTCTGGTGATTGCCATTGTGCGTGTTGTGCAAGCTGAAATGCTGCTTCTCTTGATGAACAATCCAATAGTAGTATACAATTAGTTGCTTCCAGTGCCTAAAGTATCTGTCAAGTGTCTTGGGAGCTTTGATGGGATCCCAAGCCCGATGCTTAGTAACAGGCATGTCAGCTGTGCGGAAGCGGCTCAAAGCAAGCCTGCGCTGCCACGTCAGCTTGGTTGACCAGTCCTTGGTGCACCATTGATGCGTCTCCTGCAGCATGTCTTCAAGAGCATCAAGGATACAGACCAGCTGCTTTTCTTTGGACGGAGGCAGAGCAAAGGATGCTTGCATTTCTTGCTTGTCCAATCCACGCACGTGTCCCTCAATGCCTGTAGTCTGGAGCCAAGGCACCACAGCGGAGTGCTGCACCCCAAACCCTTGGATACGCTGCATCTGATCTCGAGCATCCTGCTTTGCCTGATGATGATCGGCCTCCAGTGCTGCAAAGAAAGCCTCCTCTGCCAAGGGAACATGCTGTGACTGCGACACATCCGGCGTGTCAGCAGTATCAACAGCAAACCAGCGCACATTCTTGTTGTCGGAGTAAAATGTCTGAATGGTGCAGGGCTTCCAGAGTGGCGTGTCTCCTGGGGCAAGTCTTGCGCTGTGCACCTGATCCATGTGCTGCTTAGCTTTATCAACAGTTGCAAATGCTTGGGTGCAGCCATGTACGCACTGCCAGCCTTGCTGCTCAGCAAGCTCCTTGACACGCTTGGTGGGCCAGGTGTTGCGTGGCTCACCCAGGCTTGGCACCTTGTGCTCAAGAAGTAGACCAAGCAGGCCAGTGAGCTCCTGGCCCTTGATGCCGTGCTTGTATAAGTGACGTTTGATGCCAACCTCACCGGGATGAATGCAGCTTTTGCACTCGAGGCAGGCAATGACCTGCCACTCTACAAGGTAGGGGTACTGCAGCGCAAGCGCATGAACATGCTGGTTGGCAACAGAGAGGGATGTGATGTCTTGGCTAGCCGACATGGTGACTGGTTGATGTTGGATGAGTTACAGTGTTTGTGCTGTGTGATCGAGTGAGGAATTTGGCAGTAAGCTGAGTCTGTTCAATGGAGTGTTTGCTATGATCGAGGATGATTGACTCACCAAGGGGGTCTTTATACCGCATCCATGCCACTCGATGTGGGCTTCAACATAACAAGACCAGCTCATGTTGCATTGTTGTCAAAGCAGCTGTGCCCACCAGATATCAGGAACACCAGGCACCAAAAGTGTCAAAGTAGACATTCATCGAGGAGCAGTGGTGCAGGCACAGGCACGCAAAGGTACAGGTCCAACAAGTGCATCTTGACTGTGTGTGGCACGGTGTAGAGCAGTGGCAACAGGAACCCAACTGCTGGGTAGAGATTGAAGGCTGAAATGAGGCAGACAGGCGTGTGCGCAGAGTCTACTTTGAGTGATGTGAGCGCTGGTGATGGGTGTGTGGTGGTGGTTGGAAGAGGAGGTACTCGAGGCAGGTTGCACCTTCTCTGCTGGTGAAATCACGACGCGTCAAGCCCGCATCGAAGCAGACAAAGCAGACACACTGTGCAGGATCAACGCGTAAATTGGGTGTGTACAAGGTGCACATCCTGGCGTGAATGCGTAAGTTGGCTGTGTCAAGCATGTGCGCCCCAGCGTGAACGCGTAAATTGGCAGTGTATAATGTGCGCATCCTGGCGTAAACGCGTAAACTGGCCGTGTACAATGTGCGCATCCTGGCGTAAATGCGTAAACTGGCTGTGTACGATGTGCGCATCCTGGCATGAATGGGCAACTTGTCTGTGTAGAGCCCCAGCATTGACGCGTAAATTGGCTGTGTACAATGTGCGCATTGTGGCGTAAATGCGTAACTTGGCTGTGTAGAGCATGCGCGCCCCGGCGTCGACGTGTAACTTGGCTGTGTAGAGCCCCAGCATTGACGCGTAAGTTTGCTGTGTACAATGTGCGTATCCTGGCGTAACTCTGTAGCTTGGCTGTGTAGAGCATGTGCGCCCCAGCATCGATGTGTAAATTGGCTGTGTACAATGTGCACATCCTGGCTTAAACGTGTAAACAGGGTGTGTAGAGCACGCGCGCCCCAGCGTACAGAGCGACCATAGGTGAGTATGGTGACTACAGAGCAATGATGTAGTATGGCAGTTGATTTGAGCTACAGTAGGTGGGCACAACAGCCATTTGAGCTGCCATATGCTTGCGTATCTGTATGGCGCGCATGCCTGTGTATGGCAGATGTCTCTGTGTGTTACGCGTCTGTATGATGCACACATCTGTATGGCGCACGCATCTGTATGGCAGGCATGCGTCTGTATGACGTGCGCGTCTGTATGGCATGTATGGCACGTATGGCACGTATGGCACGCATCTGTCTGCGTACTTTTACGGCGTAAAAGTGAAAGTCCGTGGATCTGTGGACCTCCGGACGCGTTTTTTGGCGGGGGATTTGGCTGCGCATCCGCTTTTGCGCCGTAAAAGTCTCGGGGCATATATATAGTGTCGGTGCCAGGGACAATCAGTAGCTGTGCACGCTTGGGTGTGCGATCAAATTTGATCTCGCAGCCAAAACCCGTGCGCGCCGCAGGCGCGCGCTGCGCGCAGACTACAGATGCAGCGGATAAATTACGCGTGGTGCGCTCGCGCAAGCGCGCCTCTGTCTGGCTATAGCACGCGCGCGTATGGCAGGCTGGGGTGTGCAATCAAATCTGATCTCACAGTCACGTGCGGGCGTGGTTGGATGTGCGATCAAATCTGATCTCACAGTCAAGCCCTGTGCACGCCTGGCGCGCGCGCTGCGCGCAGACTACAGATGCAGCGGATAAATTACGCGCGGATAAATTACGCGTGGTGTGTGCGCGCGCGCGCCTCTGGCTGGAGCACGCACGCTACCGGCCGAGAGCGCATATATGGGGCACGTGTGGCGCGTATGGCGCATATGGCGCGTATGGCAGAAATCTGTCTGCGCACTTTTACGGCATAAAATCTTCAAAATCAAGGTCCGCGGACGTCCGGACGCGTCTTTTTGACGGGGTGCGGTCTAGTTTACAGCGTAAAATCCTCGACTTATACCAGTAGGCCTTGAGTCAAACACGCGTATGGGGCACGCAAATGGCGCGCATATGGGAGCGTGCGTGTATGGGGCGCGTCTGTCTGCGCCAGTTTACAGTGTAAAAGTGGAAGTCTGTGCATCCGCGGACCTCCAGACGCATCTTTTGGCAGTGATCTTGTCTGCGCAGCTGCTGTTGCGCCGTAAAAGTCTCGGGGCATATGTATAGTGGTAGCTAAGCAGCGTACTATCAGTGCTCAAAGGACGCGATCGGTCACCTCACCGCGCGGCTCTGGGACGCCCAGGCTGTGACTCGCCCTCTTGTCTTTTGACCGCAACGATGGGCGAGTCTCGATGGTGAGCCGTGCGATGGATCTGCCCTGCACGCACGAGGCGTTGGGGGAACTGCAGAGTGGCTGCGACGGGCAAAGAATCGCGCAAGTCTCGCGTACAGTGTAGCAAACACGAAGCTTTGTTTCCGCGAGAGTGGATAGTGTGCTTGGCAAGAAAGTGTCTACTCGCTCGTGGCTTGACGTGGTGGCTTGGTGCAGATGTTTATGTTTACCTCGGTATCGGCAAGCAGAGTGCTCAGATGTCGTGTCCCGTGGCAAACGTGTGGCCACACGCGCGCGCACTTGCGATCGGCGGACTCGACGCCAACTCGCAATTGATGATGGCGCGGCGCGTCGCTATTCGTGATCAAATTTGGTGGCAGTCATTTCCCGGACGCGGAATCCATCACGCCTTTTTCATTGAGCGGACTTGGCATCGCGAGCGCAGTCCAAACTGATCTTGGCCTTGCAGACCGCTCGCGGAATCTTGAACGATCGTGGCTTTGCAGACGCGGTTTCTATACACGAGTGGTGGAATTGAGGATATAAAGACGGCGCAAGACATGCCTGCTCGCGACCTGGATCGTGCAAACAGTCTTCCCTCTCTCTCTTCAGCGCCATGTCAACGCTTCCCTTTACCTCTTTTCAAGACGGCGTCTCGTACGGCACCAAGGCTTTGCCAGCAGCTATAAGCGCGGTGCTGAGCTTCGGCCTCTTTTTGGGTGACTGGAGTAACCACCTTGGTGCCGAATGGCGCTTGAAGCGATCTGCAAGATGTGAGTGGTGATCGTGATGATCGTGATGATCGTGATGATCGCGGTGATCGCGATAATCGCGGACTTGTTAGCGCGACGCGCAGCGCTTACTCGACCTTGCGCCAGTTTTCGCAACGCATCTCTACTTTGCAGCGCGATGCTCTGGTCTCGTCGCATTGATCTGCCAGGTCGTCTTGACGGCAGGCGTGGGTCATTACTGCGACTGCTTGGCGGTATCCAAGACTGGCACAGTCTTCACTTGCATCGGTGTTGGCTCGGCGTACGCCCTCTTGACACTAAGATGCGCCGCACTGTGGCACTTTGATCGTCGCATCACCGTGTCGCTGTTCATCATCTGCGCACTCGTCTGCTCCACGTACCTGAGCCACATCGTCGTGCTGTCTGCTTCGCCATCGCCGTACGCGTGAGTCGAGCAGGCTCTGCAGGCGCTTTGCAAGACGCTTCGCCGCTGACCCCCTCCCCGCCCGCGTCCAGCGAAGATCTCTGCTTCATGACGGGGCAGGTCAAGTCGCTGGCAGCATCGTACATCGGAGCAGCCCTCTTCGACACTCTTCTTGCGGTGCTCACTGTTCTGCCCTTGATGAGGTCGCCAAACAGCCTCGTGCACTCCGACATTGGACGCCGAGTTGTTCGCGGCACGGCTGCATACTATTCGATGGTCATCCTGCTCTCCACCTCGTGCGGCGCGCTGCTCCTCTCGCAGCAAGCGCCTCACATTTCCAGCATCCTGACTCCGATCCACGCTTCGATCACCATCTCGATGGCTTGTCGAGTGCATCTCTACTTGAGACATTTGACCGACAAGCGGCAGCACTCAGCTTCACCTCGTCGCATCGAGGTCAAGAAGCTGGACGGACTGAGCAGCCCAATCGAGGGATTGAGCCCGCAACCCAGTCCGGTCAAGTCGCGCAAATCGAGCCTCCGAGCGCCACTTGCCGTCGCCGTCCTGCGCAGACCGTCCAGACGCGATGCTGCCGACTTGGAGCGAGCGACTGACAGTCTCGCTCCTTACACTCTCCCTCCTCACATTGCATCGTGGGAGAAGCGCACGTGGGCGATGCGATCGGACAGCGCCATGGATGCTCCAGCGCGTCGATCCAGCCACGCTTTCGATCCGCACCTGGACCTGCCACTTGCCGCCTATTCGGCACACGGGGTCAACACTCGAGAGGGCTATAGCGAGATGCGCGCCTCCTCTCGTGCCATGTCGTGCGACGAGAGCGCTCCTTTTGCAAACCTACGCCGAGCGAGCATCGATGCGCATCCCATCAGGATGCAGTCCGAGTCGTGCTCGATGATCAGCCCCATAGACCACCATGCCATTGCTTCACTCGACCTCAAATCACGTGCCAGCCTGTAAACGAGGCAATGCAATTCCTGTTTCCACGAGTACGCGCCGCGTCTAGTGATGCGCTGTCTGCACCACAAATGCAGTTGCGTCCCCGGCTGCATCAATCTCCTGCAGCTGCGGGGGGACCGGCCTCTGCGTGTCGATATCCTCCCACCTGGTCACTGTGAGCGTCCTGCCTCTTGCGTCCAAAGCAATCGCTCGGATCTGGTGCTTGTGGAGCTCGCTGGCCAAGCCAACGCTCTCGACGCCCACCACTGCCCGCGTCTCGAAGCCAGAACGCGGCTTGGTGGCCAGGTGATGCACGCCACGCCAGCCCTCGAGACGCTTGATGGAGGAAGCGATGAAGGACCAATCGGACCAAGTGCGCGTCTCGTGAGCAGGCTTGCGACGACGCTGGAATTTCCACGCTCGCACCTCGGTGTCGCCGTTCCAACTGGCTGCGAGTACGATGTGCGCTTTCAAAGGTGCTGCTCCACGCGCATTGCCACGCGCCTTGAAGGGCAAGAGCTTGCCGTCCTCATCGCTTCGGTATGCCAGTCCCACCACTGCCGGCTCCTCTGCAGGGTGGCCGCTCCACGTCGATTTAAAGGCCCTGTAATTCTGCACGTGTCCATCGCGCGCCGCTTCTGGGTGATGGCTGTTGGATGCGAGGAAAGCGTGCCACAGCACCTCTCCCGCATCGTTGAACTCGGTCACCGCACCCTCGGAACCCCAATTGACGACGACGTGACCATCTTGCAGGAGATGCGTCGAACCCTGGCTCTTGGAGAGCAGATCGAATGGAGGATAGAATGCGCGCCAAGTGCGAGCTGTCCATTTGCCTCCCTTTGACCTGTCGGCAGACGTGTCGAGGGCGATGATCTTGCCCGATGAGGTCTTGGCATCGCGAACCTCTGTGCCTGCGCCCGTCTCTGTGCCGTGAGCGCTATTGTCGTAGAGGGAGATGAGCTGCCTGCCATTGTGGTCATAACCGTGGAATTTGGCGTGGTGTTGGTAGGAGAAGGCGACCTGATCATCGAGATGCTCAAAGTCCTTGTTGTGCGTGTTGCGACCACCGAGGGCCCAGATGATGCGGCCAGTCTTGCCCGAAATCTTGTACACTGAATTGACGTCGCGGGCAGAGATGAGGTAATCGCCGTGCCTATCCTTGTCGACGGAATTGATGTGAAAGTAATCCCAAGCCTGCTGGGAAGAGGTGCCATTGCCCGCCTGACCACCGACGAGGCTGATGTTGGAGTGGTGCACGGGCACGTGATCGAGCGAGTGCCACTCGAACAGCGTCCTGCCCGTCTGCACATCCACCTCTTGGAATTGCGCATCGACGACCCACTGTCGGTGAACGTGATCATGCTGCTCGCCCTCCTCGCCCTCCTCACCGCCCTCGCCACCCTCCTCACCGCCCTCGCCTGCACTCTGCTGCAAACCATACCCGGGCACGGGATGGTAGATCTGAACAAGTGCGGAAGCTCCATCTGCAATCACCTGCGCCTCGTGCTTGTCCACCAAGCGATGATGACCCGCTCCCACGCTCTTGATGAGGCCATACGACTGGTCAAGCAGGGTCAGGTGACCGTGGCCATGGCCGTGCAAAGCATTGTGTTTGCCCTCAAAGGCCAGCAGCGCATCCTTGCCCTTGAAGCGCGTCTTGTGCAAGCTGACGGTCCAGCCGGCAGTGTACTGCGCAAAGCCGCTCCAAACCAGCTGACCAGAGTGAGGCTCAAAGATGTAAGGACCTGGCTGTGGAGGCGATGCCAGCTCATCGTGATCCGAGTCGCCAGAGAAGGGGGAGATGAAGAGCAAGCCGGGGGAGAGCTGACTGGCAGACGGGGTGTTGTGGGTGATGTTGAGGATGGGGACGTTGAGATCGGGACGCGAGAGGAACTGCCAGGTGGCGGTGCAGGTGGATGATGCGCTGAGCGTCATCAGGGCCAGGGTCAGTAGGGTGGGCACTTGAATGGGGGTCTTCATGGTGATGGTGATCGGCGCGCGTGATGTGAGGAGAGGGGATGAGCGGCGGGATGAGCGGCGGGTTGAGCGATGCACTGCGCTGCGCTGGATGTTCGCTCAAGACGAGCTTCTTGTAGGAAAGAGTCACGAGTCGTCACGTCAGAGTCGATCATGCGGCGAGCAGCAACGCGGTGGTCACGAGTCGCAAGTCACGAGTCACCAGTCGCGAGTCACGAGTCACGAGAGCGCATGGCCATGATGGCCAAGCAGCACTCAAACTTGTGACTCGCACTCGCACTCGCACGAGCTTGTGTGGATGCGAAATGCAGGTACATTACGCGTGGTTGCATGGGGCGAGTGGTGGTGGTGGTGGTGGTGGTGGTGTATGCATGGTCGCTGTACTTGCGCAAGGCCAAGCCAAGAGCACGCAATCCCGCCTCACCTGCCCCGCGGTCAAGTGTCGAGCGCAGGAGCACAGACAGCACCACCACCATCACCACCACTCACGTGACTGACGCACACCCACACCCACACCCACACCCACACCTCCGCTCTGCTTCGTCACTTTGTGGCTGCACTTCGCCATTCATCGCCGTTGCAAGTCCGCGAGCGTGCATGCACGCACGCACGACCCTGCTGCATGCGCGCCGCACACCCGCGCACCCACGCCTGCGTCCCTCGAGCTTGCCCACCCGCCACCATCACACTCGCGACGCGTGACTGCAAGCACCAAGACTCACGCACAACCCACAGCCAAGAGCAGGGATGCAGGCACAGACAATCAATCACGCACGCATCAAGTTGCGCACCCGAATCCAGTGAGTGGCTGGGCTTTATCCATCGCTTTTCTCACCATTCCGCATGGGCCATCAGCGCGCTACCGGACGGTGCACGGGTACGGGTACACGTGAACGCCATCATCCATCCATCCATCCGCTCGCGCGCTTGATCACGCGATATGCTGGCATCCCATCGTCATCGCTCTTGGCACGCACGCGTGTGCGTGTGCGTGTGCGTGTGCGTCTCAACTCGCACTCACGGCCATCGCACACGCTTTCATCCATCCAGCCGGCCTTTGCGGAGGGTTGACAAGTCACGAGTCGCCGGCCTATGCCTCATCCCAGGCACCAGGCTTGCCACGGCAGATTGACTGGACGAGCACGCGCTGCGCTGCGCTGGGTGTGGCTTGACATTCGTCATTTGATTGCCTCAGCAACACGCAGCAGCCTATCACATGCCATGACATGCCATGCCACCATCGGTTCCGAGGCTAACAGTCGTCGCGCTGAAAGTGACTGGTGCAGCGCCCTCGCCCCTTCGTATCTGCTCCCCGTTCCTTGTTGGCCGGAGCAAGATCTAGACCGAGGACTCACAGACTATCGGGGGCCATGGCCCAGGTCGGCGAGGAATTGGTGGAAGCGGATGCATTCAGCCACACGAGTCGGGGCCGGACATCGCTGAGAAGAATTGTGTTGTGCACTCGGCGACACAGATCGATGGTCACCAGACGGGATGGTGCGTGCGTGTGCGCGCGCGCGCGAAGCATACAAATAGAAGGATCATAGACGTTCGCATACAAATACAAGGACCATGGACGCTCGTACAAATACAAGGACCATGGACGCTCGCAAGCTGCTCCATCTTTGTCCGCACCCCTGCTTTCCTCCCTTCTCCCCCCAAGTGTCACCCCTCATCATGTCTGCCTCCATAGGGAAAGAGCAAACCTTTGCGAGCCCGGCAGAGTACGCGACGCTGACGCGCAATGGTGCTCAAAGAACTTCGCAAATTGATTCCAAGCGCTCCGAAGATGCCGCAAGCACATCCGACAACCAAAGCCAAAGCGATCTGGGCAGCGACAAGCACATCTTTTCAGATCCTGCTGTAGCTGCGAAATGGGCCGCAGTGTACAAAGAGTCCAAGTACGAGTGTCGTCATCGCTTCGATCCGCACCTCACGTGGGACGCCGAAGAGGAGCGCAAGCTGGTGCGCAAGCTCGACATTAGAATCATGCGTGAGTAAGCGCGCGAGGCTTTAGGCTTCTTTCCGGGGACTTTTGCTCACCCCTCATCCTCTGCGCTGCTCCCGGCCCTGCAGTCTTCATCTGGGTCCTCTTTATGAGTCTCGAGTGAGTATGCAGCGCAGCGCAGCGCAGCAACGCACGACAACACTTTTTGACAGATATCATCCACCCACACCTCTGCCCTTGTGCTTCGCTGCAGCCTCATCCGCCGCAACATCAATCGCGCCTTGCCCGACAATTTCCTCAAAGACTTGGGAATCACTACCGACGACTTTAACAACGGCCAAGTCATTGTGAGTGGCAGCGAGCGAGCGTGCATCCATCCGCACAACATCCTCTCACGGTCATTCTCTCGCTGCTTTCGTCCATCGACCCGCACAACATCCTCTCACACATCGTCGCTCCTTCTCGCGCACGCCACTACAGTACTTTGCGAGGTAAGTCTCCCGTTTGCTCCTCGTGCGCATCGTCGAGCGTGCACTCACATCTCGCACACACCCCCCCCACAGTTTCCTATTCATGGAGCTGCCCTCTGGACTGATCAGCAAGCGACTGGGCGCCGACATTTGGATTCCCGTACAAATCGTCGTATGGAGCATCATCTGCTCAGCTCAAGCCGGTCTCACCAACAAGGTCTCCTTCTTCCTCACCCGCGCCTTGCTCGGCGCAGCGCAAGGCGGCTTCATCCCAGACGCGTGCCTGTACCTGTCCTACTTTTACACCAGCGCCGAACTCACCACTAGGCTCAGCTGGTTCTACACCGTGCTCGGCATCAGCCAGCTCCTAGGAAGCTTCCTGGCCGCTGCCTTCATCGAGCTTCGAGGCTGGCACGGTCTAGCGGGTTGGCAGTACCTCTTCGCCTTTGAAGGTCTCATCACTGGCGTCGTCGGCATCTTTGCATTCTTCTGGATGGTTCCCAGCGTCACTGCCTCCAAAGGCTGGCTGCGCGGCAAGAATGGCTGGTTCAACGAGCGCGAGGAAAAGATCCTTGTCAACAGGGTGCTGCGTGACGACGCTACGAAGGGTGAGTGCGATTAGATGGGGCGAGCGCAATGGGCACCAGAAGCAGCGCCACTGACCTCGCATCACGCGCAGGCGACATGAACAACCGTCAAGCTGTCGACTGGAAGGGTCTTTGGCGCGCTCTCGGCGAAAAGGACTTGTGGCCGATCTACCTGCTTGGTCTGGTCATCTACATTCCATTCCAACCTCCTCAAACGTACCTCTCGCTGACACTGCGCAACCTCGGCTTCAGCGTCCTGCACTCCAATCTCCTCGCCATTCCCTCGCAGTTCCTCTTTGCCGTCAATTGCCTTTGGCTCTCTTGGTTGGCGCGCCGCTACAACGAGAGGAGCCTCATCGCCGTCTTTTCCAACGTGTGGACGCTACCTCTGCTCATCGCGCTCCGCGCAATCCCACACCTCAAAGACTCGTACTGGTCTTGGGTGCGCTACGCTCTCCTCACCCTCGTCGCATCCTTTCCCTACTGCCACCCCACGCTCATCAGCTGGCTCTCGCAAAATTCAAAGTCGGTCAGAAACAGAGCAGTGGCGGTGTGCTTGTACAACATGTCCTACCAAGTCGGCAGCATCTTTGCCACGCGCATCTTTGCCGAAAAGGACAAGCCCTACTACCCCAAGGGATTCACCGCTCTCATTGCCATTTGCGCTTTCGCAATCGTCCAGGCCTTCGCTACCAAGGTTTACTACATTTGGCGCAATCGATCCAAGCAGGCAGAATGGGCCAAACTCACCGCAGACGAGAGGATGGAGTATACGCTGCACAACAAGGAGGATGGAGGCAGGCGTCTCGACGTCCGTCTCGTCCACTAATTGACCTGCTGCGCCTTCGTACGCGTCAGCAGGCGTGTTCCCTGGATCCGCCTGCAGACCGTCATGTACGCCAATGCTGCTCGTCTGTCCTATACTGCTGTGCTCGCATGACACGTCATCGCTGAGTCTACCTCAATGTCACGATTTTCCCTTGCTCTTCAAAATTCCGCGCCCCAAGTGCTGTGATTGGAAGCTCACACGTTGGCTCTGACACCGAATCTAGGGTGCAGCGTCTCGCGCTTCAAAGGGGCCAAATAATAAATGGCACAGTAGGTAAGTGAAAAGGGACTGCCGATTGCAGGCAGCTCTCTTGTGAAGTATCAAGGGTCGCGGTCAAGCGCGGTGTGAGGGAATTGAAGCGCGATCATCATGGGATGAAAATAGAGCCAGTGCGAGGCTTTTGAGAGCCCGATGCGTTCCTGTTATGCTTCTGGAGCAGGGTGGAAGACTGTTATCAGCTCGCAGCACCCTCCCAGCCGCACTCGACCTTCGTTGCTCACCATGCGTCAAGCGTAAAGGTTTCCATAGCCGTGGAGGATGTCCCACTTTTTGGCTCCTTCCTCCAGTGCTGCAGCATAAGCAGCATCTCCAAGACCAAGCGCCGCTCCGATGCACGCACCTCCTCCACCGAGTGCAGCCGCGACCCCAACGGGCGGAAGCAGAGTTGCGACTCCCATAAAGGTACCAATCTGAAACATGACACCCGCAGTAACGGTCCATCTGCGCTTGGTAGCGTACCAGCTAGCATAGTCCTCGCGTGCCTTCCACTCAGCGGCGGTGAGGTGTTCACGAAGGAAAGCAGCGACTGACAGGTGTGGAAAGGTCAAGTCCGCAGCTGCTACCGTAGTCCAGCACACGGTCAGCTCTCACCTTGAGCGTTATTCATGTTTGCACTCATGTTTGCGAGCTTTGCGTTGATTGTCTTGAGCTGTGTGAGGGAATGTTTGGATTTGAACAAAGAGACATGGACGTCTTGGAAGCTCGTTGGGGCGAGCTTATATGCCTTTTCTGGGACCATGCCGCTGATGCCTGGACCATGTCAATCAGCACACAGAGACCAGCGATTGCTGGATTGCTGCTCGTCATCAGTCCGTTTGCGACAGCAGCAGCAAGCTCGCCGCACTGTCAATTCGCAGTGTACGGAGACTCGCATCCAAATTCATGATGCTGTCGTCTCAGATCTGCAATCACATCTGCAACCGCAATCGCCGATCACATTCACAATTTCAGATGTGAATGTCATCGCGTTCTGATGGTGCGGACTCGCACACATCACATCCATGCAGTTCGAACTCATCGCTGCAGATCTGCATGCATGATCAACGGGCACGTTGCCGGTGTGAGGGTCAGCCCAGGTGCACATCTGCATCCCTCCTCGCGCTTTATGGCCGCGCGCTATCGGGCTTTGCAGCAGATCTGCAACTTCGACGGCTCACGCGGGCGCGCCCTGTGTGCAGCTCTGCACTCGCGTGACCTGACGCAGCAGCAGGAACGGTACCGGTACGGTAGGTGCGCTTACGGCGTCCACAGCAGCAGAGTCAGAGTGCAGATCTGCAGATCTTCGAATCAGCAGCAGCAGCAGCAGCAGCATGTGCTGCTGATGAGCATCTGCGCGCTGTGTGTACTGCACCAAAGTTTCAAGTGACGCATGACCTGATGCAGATCTGCAAGCTGCGAGTGGCTGTGTACGCATCTGCGATTGATTGTTGCCCTTGGCTAGTGAATCGGGGCACCTCGCACATCTGCACACCGAGACTTCATCACTGACAAGATGCGCTCCCCGCCTTCCAACATGGCCCTCACGTCAGTTGGCTGAGCTCACTTGACCGATGCGCGCTGGGCGGCGTGTCGTGCGACGTCACCGTCTTGCAATCGCTCTTGGCAGAAAAGTGTCGACATGACGCTGGTCAAGCTCGTGTATAAATAACGCAGTGTCGAGCTGCTGCTCATTCAGCTCTTCTCGTTACGATCCTCATCGACATATAGTCTGCCACTGGCATCCTCCCTCACATCTCCACCCCCACTTTGAATAGCGCAATGTCTTGCAAGACTTTCACCGCCTACATGCAGAGCATGACGCCCATCACGACCGCCACCACCTGGCCCGCCGAGGACACGTGAGTCGAAGCGACTGCTCACCAGTCCGAGAGGTACGCTTACCGAGCCGTCCCCGCTACATGCTGTAGCGTATGGCGCGCCATTCGTGCCAGACAGGGAGGACTTGTCATAGGGCAGACGATCGAAAAATATCACTGCAAGGTGGGTTGAGCTCATATGCGGGTCCATATCGACCGACTCTCACGGGCAATCCGCTCACTTGTCTGCTTGCCGTAGGTGCACTCTGGCAAGAAGAATGGCGGTCCTGCTTACACGGCATGGACGACACTCCAAGTCAAGAATGAGGGTGATCAGACCCAACCCATCACCTTCACCTACTTGCTCGTCAATATTGCCCATGGCAGCCACGACAGAGTGGCCCAAATCCTGGATGCTTTCGAATCGTCTGCCAGTGCGGCTGCACCTGCGACGCCAAAAGACAATCCGCTGAGTGAGGATCCGAGCACAAGATTTCTTGCGAGGCGTTGCTGACCCTACACAATATCACACGTATCGGTTAGCTACCAGCCTAGGAGCTGTTCAGCTGGTGCTGCGCGGACGTCCCGGCAGCTTCATCTTCGACGCGCTTTGTCCCCACGTCCAGAGCTGGCTGACTAATCAAGATGGACCCTTGGCTTTTCACAGCGTCTCTATTCAGCGTCCAGCAGACTATCCGATCAATCACCACACGGATATGAGCAGTACCTCTACCGGGCTGACGGGAAACGCATGTTACCGCGTCCAAGGTGTCATCGTTGGCCAGTAGAGGCCATCTGAGACGATCACGTGATCACTCATCTATTGTCAGGCTTGCAGAGCTGCTTCACTTTGTGTAGAGACCAACCGGACGTGATGAAACGCATAGCCACGCTCTGAATCCATCCTGTTGCTGATCGTAAACGTGCCGCCGAGACCGGCGCAGGTCAGTCACTAGCCAATCTGCACGCCACATGAGGCACGTGCGAACGCCACGAAGAGTCCCAAACGAATAGAGGGGTGTGTCCAAGTAAGAGGCAACGAGTAGGTGGTGATGTCTACACACGCATGCAACATTCAAGGGTCTCGTGCTGCGACCGGCATGAGTGAAAAACGGGGTCCGGGTCGATCGATGCGAGTCGCGCTCAGTGATACCTGACCTGCCGCAAGAGCATGCCGCCAAAGCGCACCCCTCCAAACGCCTCATAGCCGATCTTGTGAAGTCGAAAGACGCGTGAGCGCTCCTTGTCGTCGACGATCATCTTCTCTCGGCCAGGGAAGAGTTGCCATCCCCTTCCCACCGCCCACTCGAAATTGGGCCAGTTAAGCTCGAATACGTGTTCGAACCGCACATTGTAGCCCTCGCCCTGTTGGCACCAATTCGTCTGACTCGCTGCCATAGCTAATTCGCGCGCTCTGCTGTCCCCGGCCCCATAAGCGTGAAACGTTTTGTCTGGAGTTCGTACGTCCAGGCGAAGACCAAAAGGTCTATGTGGCCTTCGAACTCTTCCCCACTCATCGTTTGAAGGCACTCCGAGGATGTTCTCGTGGTGTTGCACGGTTGCAGGAGGAGTTAGACTGCCTCTGCCGCGTACGCAGTACGCGTGACGCGTATTTTCCGGCGGTAGGAGAGGTCCTTCGCTGTTGAAGAAGTGAAGAAGTAATATCGGCTCGTAACATCCGGGTGGAATATCAAAGATACACAATCGCGCCTGTGAGCAGTGCGGGGGGGCGAGCAAATTGGAAATGTATCAGCAACAGCATACACGTTGCTCAATCCATCACTCACGTCAAAGTCATAGCATCGGCGCACAAAAACGGAGCCGAACTCGCCCAAGACATCGTGCGCTGCGTGTAAGGCTGCAAACTTGTGCGCGGCGTTGCAGGCAGTTACAACGTCTTCACTCTTCATGGCCGCGATGCAGTCTTTCTGCCAGCTGTCCACATTGCAGATCGTCTTCTGTTTGTCAGTGCAATGATGCCATAGGAGATATCGTCGACCAGAGGCTGCTTCAGTGTGGGTTGTGTTAGGGAAGGGCCAGTCAGGGTGAAGCCAGAGAGGGGGCTAAGGACGAAGAACAGAGTGTCCGACCGATGTGAGAAGCTATTTGGACATGAAGCGGCGTACAAGTGCTCAGAGCTCACAACGTCACGAAGAGGCGGACCGGTAGGGGGCGCATATTTGTGACGCCAAGCCAGGCCTCGTTGTCCCGGGTTGCTGTGGATGATGGCTGCAGACTCCCCGTCCACGCAATGGTCCAGTTTGTGAACCTTCTCGAGGTTGCACTCTCTGGACACAAAATTTTTAATGTGCCAGTGTCGGACACATGAGTATTTGACGTGACCTATACGACCTCGAAAGCAAGGTGCGGCGAGATGTGAGTAGTCCTCGGCTCTCAGCTAGCGCGCTCCGTGGTCTTGCACCACGCAAAGCACCCCGTCCACTCACCATAACGTTGCGATTGAAGCGTGCAAGGTTCAATGGGCCACAATCCTTCCCACGTTGAATGTGAGGCTTCTGCCGTGGGGTCAGGGGTTATTGCAGACCAGCGTGTCTGATGGACGTAAAATGGCAATGGTAAGGGCTGCTGCTGTTGCTGCTCATCTCCTTCCATCGGCTCCTCGACCTCTTCTTCCATTGCATGCTCGGGTGGGGGATTGGCTGCATCCACGACTCGAAACCAGTAATGCTGGCAGTTTGGTTTGCAAGAGCCTCGCCAGCACAGAAAATCTCCCCGGCCCTCGGAAGTCCAGCGCTCTGGTCCACCCTCGCGCTCAAGCTCGACCAATTGTTTAGTGCTGCTGTTCTCGAAGCGGCGCCCACGGTTCTTTATAATAGCCCATTGCCTGCTTCCGTGATCCTCTCCAAAGCTGACGTTGCACCTGATGCCATGCGTTTGGCACCTGTTGCAGGGTATCGTGTGGCAGCCACGCGAGTTACCCCCCACCGTACCGAAGCAAGCGTCGCAAACCGGGAATTCTCTTGGCATTTGCTCGTCGGCAAGATGTGTGCTGGAATTGGGAGGGGCAGCGCGTTGTGTGTTGTCAAAGTGTGAGGGCAGCGAAAGCACAGGGGCACTTGCTTAGCCATCCCTGAGCCAGGCTCTCTTTATGTAGCTTGCGCCCTCGTGTGGATGATCAGGCGGGCATGGTGCGCAAGACAGGCTACAGGCTCGCCATCTACAAAGGCCTACAAAGGCCCATCGCGTTGCCTCACCATTCCCCGTCGTGAGCCCTGAGGGTAGCACTGCTCGTGTGCTATCGAATCGAGGAGCCCACACAAGGATGCCGTCGACGACCGCGGGCGGCGAGTCAAGTCGCGAATCTTTGATCAGTCACGAGTCCGACTTGAGTCTCGAGTCTTGATTGAGCCTGCGCCACTCCCCGCCCCGCGGTCTGAAATCTGAATCAAGATTGGGCAGCGCAAATCACGACTCACGACTCACGACTCACAACTCACAACTCACGACTCACGACTCACGAATGGCCTGCATGCATGCAGCAAGGAGGCCACGCAGCATGCAGCCTCCGCTCCCCGCGCGGAACAGGTCCTGCTGGACTTGACTCGAATTCGTGGCTGATGCATGCCTAGCTGTGCGCTGTGCAGCAAGAGATGGTCTGTGCGAAACCTTGATCCCCTGATTCTGACTTCGATTCTTCATTCAATTCCCGATTCCATCTTGACCATTTCGACGATTTCGACGATTTCGACGCTTGGAGTGGCTGGGTGCATGCATGCACGAGGCCCCGCGGAGTTACGATTGGCCCGCTCGCGCCAATCTACACGTAGCCAGGCAGGCAGCCAGGCAGCCATCAGGCAGCCAGCCAACGCCCCTGTTATAGCGACTCGACCCATTCACAAAGTTCACAATTACAAGCATGAATCTCAGATACGCTATTAAACAATTCGTGGTTCAAAATTGAACTTGATGCCTCAGTCACGACGTGACCCAAGAACTTCCCTTGGCACCGCTGTTGCTCACGTGATTAGTAGTAAGTGCAAGCGCAACCCTGAGCTGGACATCCAAAGGCTGGAAATCACGTGAATGGATGCGAAGCGATCAACGATTCGGCATGCGCTTGATCCGATCGTGAGTTGCCTGTCTGCCTGCCTGCCCCACTCACCAGGGTAGATGACGCAGCCTTGTCCGCGGTTGCACTTTGTTCCTCTGGCGCCGCAGTCTACGAGCGACAGATGCGGTCCGAGAAGCGTGAGCGATGATGCGTCTATGAACGAGGCCTGACCATGCCCCGCCGCACGCGTGACTCACTGGAAGGCTCGCAAGGGCCAGTGTACTCTGGATACGTGCCGTAATTCTCCTCGCAGGTGCCTTGGCGTGGCGCAATGTTGGCCGCTTGAGCCATCCCTGCAAAGGCGCAAGCAGCGACGACCAGCTGGAGGGTGAGGGTGAGTGTGAAGCGCATCGTTGCGTTGTAGTAAAGTGTTGATGGAGAGGATGGAGTTGTGGTGTGATGTGACGGTGATATGGTGACATTGCACTCGACTCACAGCCCCTTTTATACCACGCGCTCTCACCTGCTGGACGAGATCTGGAAGGAGCGAGCAAATGAGGAGGCTCACCCGCTTTCAACACTTTTCACCTCCTGCCAAGCTCGCAGTAATGCACTCACCACCCATGCTCGGTGTATACTCGAGTACCGATGGCAGAGCAGCCTGCGGCTGAAGGTCGTCTTGGCATCTGGCAATCTCGTCGCCAAGACGCGGCTAAATGTATGCAGTGCGATGTCATCCTCGCGCTTCACTTGGCAGCAGACGGCACTTGGCCGCATCCAGCGATGCGCTTCTTGGCTCACATGAAAGCTGCGTTCCAGCGTTCATGTTCCGATTCTAAATACCGTACACGATACGCAGTCACGAGTGTGTGCTCGGTGATTTGCACAATCTCGGATCGCTGATCGCCGTCCTGGAGTCAAGAGTCACGAGTGCGCGTGTTGGTGCGCGTGCTGGTGTGGGTGTGGAGAAGGGGCCGCGCACAGCTCACCCGCCCCGCGCGGCTTTTGTTAGCTCCGCCTTGGCGCGCTAATTTCCCCGACGCTGCTGCTGCATGCATGATGCACCTGCTTTTGGCACAAGGGCGGATAGTCAGTCAGTCAGTTGTGCCTTGGATGGCCACGTGGCTCGACGAACTGATGCGACACCAAGTTGCCGTGCGTGCGTGCGTGCGTGCGTGCGTGCATGGGTGCTTACCATGTGTGGCGAAGGCACATTCACATTCAAGTTTCACCACCTCACTTGCGCGACATCAGACCACATCTGCGCGAAGCACGTCGATTAGTAGTCAAAGCGTTATAAAGAATCTCTTGGGTGAAAAATGTCATGGCCGAGGCTGCCCCACAGCAACCCTTTCACGGCTGCTTGCCTGGCTGCTTGGCAGAGGAGAAAGGTGCTGAACCAAAGGGCGGGAGAGAAGAGGCAGAGAGGGCCATCAGCGCCAGCGCGTGGACAAGAGGAGAGGAGATGACGAACGAGACAGCACCGCGGCAGTCACAGCACTGACCCGAGATGGTGCGATTCATGAAATCCATCAGCTGCTGATTCTCCTTGGCTTCCTGCTCGCGCTTGGCGGCCAGCTGTCGAGAGTCCTCGTACCACTTGCCCGCAAGGAAGGCGCCACCAGTCAATGACCCGACACTGCGAGTCAGTCAGCAAGACAGAGCAGCCGCAAGCAGTCAGCTTGTGGGCAGAGGAGCAGTGCAAGCTGCGACTTCGCGAGTGTTGTGAAGCGTCCATCGACCTCCACTTACATAGCTCCCTTGGCGACGCCCATCCACTTGCTGTGCTTTGCTTTCTTTTTGAAGACCAGATTGGGATCGTGGTGCTGCATCGGCTTGAAATCAGAGTGGGTGTCACCAGTCTTGAGCAGCTTGCCCGCCTCCTTGCCGGCGTCGCCCAGCTCGTGTCCAAGCGACTCGACTACTCCTGTGGGCCCGTTGCGCGCTTCCAATGGGGCTGTGGGCGAGGCAGTGACCAGCAAGCAGGGACCGGCGAGCAGCATTCCGAGCGCCGCGGCAGGGTATGGGAGCGGTGGCTTCATGCTGCAATCGAATGTAGGGATAGACAGCGTCGCAAATTAGCAAAAGCAGCGTTGAAAAAAAGAAGAGATTGCACGGAGGCCAGCTCTATGCAAAGATGAGAAAATCTACCGCGGCAGAGACGATTCGGAAAAGCGTGATGGTAAGATGCGGTGAAAGATGGGGCCTTGCGAGCTTGCAGCATTCCCTTTTTGAGTGTCTGGGGGAGAGCGGGTGGCGTGTCCACGGCTCTGCTTAGCTCACAACACACGTACGCTACAGTACAGCCCCGAGCACCGGCAAGGTCACTGTGTGTACGCCATGGTCAAAGTGAGCGGCTTCGCCTCAGAGTGTTCGTCTGTCAATGTTTCGCCTCGCCCATCGCACAATCTCGATGTTTGGATGCACGGCGCAAGGCAAAGATGAACGTAGCAAGACGTCTCGGGCAGATCCACACACGCGCACGCAGACGC